ATTATTAATGTAGCCCACGTTGTATTCAGGAGATTTTGATATTTATCATAAATCTGGCTATCATGACCACACTAATCTATTAATCATTCAGTCCTGCTTGCTTAAAATGTCTGATCTGGTAGAAGTTCAAACCTCACAAATGGTGTTTAAAGCTAGAAATAAACAGACACCAGATGGTATATAAAAACTATTTGTTTAGAGTTAATAATTTTTGTATTTCAGTTCTAGAAAGCTGAATAGCCATTATCAAAAATCATGTTTATATTGCAAGTTTCTCTGTGAGCCAAATTCTTTTTGATAGCAGGATTTCTTGAAATTATCCTCAGTTTGTCGCACATTTCAGCTGAAACCAGACACAAGAAAAGCTTCAGAAATGGGGTGTCCTTTACTGCAGGAGCTTGTAGATGTTGTGGACTAAATGCTCATTACTCATAACATCATAATTTTCACCATAGGGAATCTCAATAAAAAATTAATATACAGGTGACACGGCAAAGACAGGTTCTATGTGCTGCACCTTATCTTTATGCCAAGGCGTACTGTCCGGGATTTAGTGTCAAACTTTTACCTTGAAGCTTTAATGCCTATCACATCGATCAGAATTTATGCATTGCTATCTATCTCCTTTGACGTGTCTACCCTACGGAACAAGGGGGTTTGAATTTAGACTGGAGATAGGGCGTGATTAAAATACTTTTTCTCTACAGGCATTGAATACCTTAACTTTTGTTCAGTTATATTTTAAAACTGAGTTTTGCCCTGACAGAAAAAAAAAACCTCCGAAAACTTCTGAAGGAAATCAGATTTGAGAGTTGTAGAATATGGACGCACACACACTAACTTGTCTTACTATTTTTTGCAGTGACTTTCCATTAACTTACCTTTCATTTCTGCAGTGTAACCATAACCCTAACCCTAAAAAAAGTTAAAAAAAAAAAAGCCTTTATTGTCATCATATTCTACAACGGATACAATGAGATTTTTGGGACTTCCATTTCAGCTACCGTGAAATAAAAAAAAAATAAAAACAATGTAGCTTGCCACCATCAGTGTGTGAGTGTGTGTGTGAATGGGTGAATGAATGTAGTGTAAAGCGCTTTGGTCAAGTCTCCTTACTTGAATAAAGGCGCTATATAAGTACATGCCATTTACCATTTACCATATTAAAAGGAAAGGAAATGTAAACAGTACTGGCACAGATTGTGGGGTGGGGAATAATGCAAAACAGGTGAAAAGTGTCCGTCAGTGCAGGTCGGAGTTGAGGGCGGCAATGGCTTGGGGGAAAAAACTGTTTTTGAGTCTGTTTGTCCTGATCCTCATTTGCCTGTAGCGCCTTCCAGTTAACCCTAAACCTAAACCTAAACTTGACTGGTTCATACCTAACCCTAACCAAACCTAAACTCAATTCAGGCCTTACGCCTAAACTTGACCCCTAACCCACAAACATCAATTCCACTCATGGGGTCCAGGCATCAGGCCCCCTATGGCCAGGATATGCAATCGGAAATGTTTACCATTTACTTTTTGGATTTTTGATATAGGAAACTATCTGCCCTCATTTTGCCACAAATAAGACATAAGTAAAAAGCCAGATTTAGTGCACATGTAAACATATTTAGACAGTAAAAAAAAATACCCCAGAGTAATAGTTGAATAATATAAAATAATATCTTTTCAATTGGACAAAAATTAATGCAACCAGATAAAAGATAATAGTTATACAATAAAACCAATAAAAAACAAACAAAAAAACACTTGAATTTAAATATGGTGGCATGTTTATTACAAAAAAAAGATACCAAAAGAGTCAGAAAAGAGACATAGGGGTGAAAGTGTCCATCTCTGCTTCCCTGCAACACAGATTTTTTTTGTTGCCTTGATTCAACAAAACAGGAAGCAGCACGGTTACTGCACGGTTTGCACATTTAAAACATTCACACCCCTACTTAGCATTTCCACTAAACAGGCTTAAATCAGAGGAAAATCAATTCTTCACATCTGACCAGGAATGTGCATGTGATGGACCTCCATAGTGCATAAATGCATCTGAGCTCCAACTACTGATGGCTCTGGTGCAAACCAACAGAAATGACAAATACTCCTGGATACGTGTCAAAACATCTTCAGAAAAACTGAGCAAAAGTCTGGTTGCTGGTTACCTAATATGCAGTAAGGATTTTTTTATTGCTTATAAAGGATTTTAACCTTTATTTGGACAAATTGCTTTCTTGATCACCCCTTTAATAAAAACTGCACCACAAGATCCAACATACCACAAGAGGTTCTGGTTCTATATGAGATAACTGTCTCCCTCTAGTGGTGGGGAGCACTTCCATTCTTTAGGACCAGTTTGCAGCTTTTCTTAACTTCCAGTTGTTTTTGCTACTTGCAGTTTTTCATTTGTTGGTGGTTTGTTTATTTATTTGCATTTTATCATAATTTATGTATTTGCAGTGAATTTTTTTATGTTTCCACTTTGCTGCTCTCCATTTTCTATCATTGCAGCTTTTCTCCACTGCATATTTTTGGTTTAATCTGACTTTCTTTTTCTAGTTTAATTTTTTGAATTCGCTGATTTAATGTTTAAGTTCGCTGGACCTTCTGACTTCACCCAGACTTTGCTTGGAAAAATAAGAAAACTAACTTAATACATGGCTGCAAAATAATGCAAAAATGAATTTTTCAATTGAAGTAAACCTTTAGTGGTTTTTAATTTAAAAAAGAAACTGGAGGTCCACCTGTCACTAAATTAGAGAGGTGATATTTATCAACTATTCCTGTGTTGAAGCTGACTGCACTAAATTCATATTGACCCATATTATCACTTCTGTCTCAATTCAACCACTCATTTGAATGCAGATTAATTTAACACACTACCTTCTGTTGTGCTGGACTGCTTTTCTATATCTGAAAACAATATAGAAACAAATAATGCAGCAGAACACACTCATTCCAGAGTGTGGAAGGGAAGGGATAAGCCAAAATTAAGCTTTGATAAAGATATTTATAACATCTCATCTTTCCCTTACACTGACACCACCCTCTAAACCTCAGCCATGACTGGCACAACAGAGAATATAAAAAGCCTCAGTCAGTGACATTACAGCAACATTAGTTATTTAATCACTACATTTGCAAAGGCCCTTTGCAGGAAAAGTGATAATCATATAATTCAAAACGATACAAAAAAGAAATTTTGTAGACTCCAGAGGCTGAAATGCTGACAGTGTGCAGTCTCATAAATGTTCCTCCCAAACTTCTTCATGTAAAACGACTTCAAATAATCCATTCTTCACATCTTCAGTAGTAATAGCTTCCAAAAACTGCCACCAAACAAAACAAGCTCTCCTAAGAAGTGAAAACAAAGTGATTTTAAAATCAGACAAACATCTTTAAAGAAATGATGCTTTATTTCTGAGTGCTTACATTCATGAACACATCTGCTGCATAGTTGTCCGTGTCAGCGTCCCACAAACACTTGGAAGTCATCCTAGAAAAAAAATTGCATTCAATACACATAAATGACATTTTATAAAAACATTTTTCTCCTGATAGAACATTTTGCATCAATTAAAATTTTAATTTTGCAAAGCGCTCTTTTCAAATGACCTGCAACATGCCCATTTATTACTATAACAAATAAATTATTACCCATTACTATTACCCATTTATACTATAACAAATAAATAAAGTAATAAAACAAAATGACACATGCAGTCTTTAAGGATCAGGAACAAAGTGTTTGTTCTATGACCAGTAAAACTTCTTCCATATGTTTGGTGTCTCCCTTGGTGACTAACACAGAACTCTGAGCTTAATTTTCTAAATTCTTTGTTTGGATAAAATATTTTTCTCCCTCCATGATAAATTGTGTGGGCATTTATGTCTTTGAGAATTATGCACTGTAATATTAAAACACAGGATTTTTTTGGGCTGTAATATGATGAAATATGAAATATTACACTATGAAATAAAAGTGGAAATTATATGAGAAACAATTTATTTAATTCAACATTTCCCAGAATTACAAAGTATTAAAAAATATAATATTGAATATTTTATGCTAAAAAAAAAGTTTCAATGACTATAAAATGTTTTGATCATAATAAACTAACATTGTCATATGAAGATAGTCAGACTAAAATCCAGGAAATATAAAAATGTTTCTCAGTCTGTCAAACACTGGGATTAGTGGTCTGTTTTTGTTTCATTCAGGTGAACAGTTCATGACCTCCACTATGCCTACATAAATCCTGTCCTTTTCTTCCATTTAATGCTCTTTGAGGAAAACAAAGTGATCCTTCAATGTGTCTGTTCCTCTGAGGCTTTATTTTTAACGGTGCAAAACATGTTTTACACATTTTTCTGATCATACATCATTCTGAAATGAAGAGAAACAGTTTTAGAACCAAAAAATATCCTGTCAGATGCTGCCTTTTTTTGATGCACCTTCAAAGTTCTTGACATGCACTTTATACTAACACAATCTTTCATTTTTGTTCAGGGCTTTTTGTAGAAAGGGCATTTATAGCTCACATCAGATTGCTCTAAACATTTCTTAAGATTCAAGGGTTTTCAGAAGTTACAAAATGATGCTTCAAGAACATCCCACACTATTTTAATAAACTGTTTGGGGGGAACAATACTTCAAAATGTGAGAAAAGTACTGTGAAAACGTGAACCCTGCATCCTTCAGACTCTTTCATTGACTAAGCCTGAAGGCTTAGTTAGCAAAGAGATAAAATATAGGTGTAACATAGAAAACTCACACAAACAATTATAGTGAGAACCCTGATAAATACATACAGGAATCTATTTCGGGTAGCCTTTTTCATCTTTCTGAGTTTTTTTTTTTTTTTTTTTCTTAAAGTCATAGATCGTTAATGATCAATTTTCTGAAGAAATTTTCGACCAAAGACAAGTTCTGTTCCCTGTCAGAAAAACAATAAATGTCTGAATGTATCAGGGCCACGGTGGCTGTGAATTAACTTTATGTAAATGCACAGTTTTCCATGTTTTCATAGGGAAGTCATATTTAAATGTCAAATTATTCAGGCTTGAACATGTATATAACTGTACTCTTTATCGGAAGATATTGTCCCAAAAGTAAGAACATTTCTATTTTTTTTTAAAACCTGTCCTTAAAATCTGTGTGTTTTTTTTTTTCATTATCTTATGCAGGACAGTTAGTTATACGTCAGCCTGTACACCTAAATTCGGCCAATCATATATCAACGGTCATCTGTCAATCAAATTTTTCAGCCATAGCATCTTGATTCATATGTCGCAGCTAATATACGCAACGCCTGAAATAAGAAAAAAAAATCATTCGCTTTCCCATTGAGTTCCGTCCCAGTGTTCACGGGGATGGACGTCTGTGTCTTCAGCAGGCGTAGAGCTAACAGAACTGGCAGCGTTGTGAGGTGACGGCTCAAAGATGTACGGCTGTAAGCCTTCTACACCAAACCAAGTTTCTGCTGCCCTGGCGTCCTCTTCCACAACAAATTCGTCCCTACTTTCCTCCTCTAAATGAAAAATATATGATGGAGGAGACTCATCAACGACCTCCGACACAAAACTCTCCTCCTTTTGCATGTTTCTGCTGTCCATAGCGTTCCTTGACAGTGTCGTTTCTAAGTCACCAATTTAGTGCTACTTGGTCCCAATGGAATTTCCCATTGGGAACCTACTAGCACTAAGTTGCTAACTGGTTAGCAAGATGCTTACGACAAACCGGCCACAACCAGACTTGCTTGGGAACCTTACGCCACAACAATCCCGCCCCCTTGATAAACGACCAATCACATTCACTTTATTCACCGTGTGTCTTAGACCACTCAAGAGAAATGAAACAGTTGGAACAGCCGCTTCCCTACGACTTTAATATTCTCATCCAGAGATGGCAAAAGTACTCACTTTCTGTACTTGAGTAAAAGTACAGATACTTGTGTTAAAAATACTCTGGTAAAAGCGGAAGTACTGATTAAACTTCTTTACTCAAGTAAAAGTAACAAAGTACAGGCTTGTAAATTTACTTAAAGTATAAAAGTAAAAGTAG